ATGAAAATCAACATATATAATTAATACAAAGAAACTCCCAAAATAGGAGAGAAAGTTTCATTTAGTAGACGTAAGTGGGAAAATTTGAATCACTGACCTCTTAGTGAGATGCAGAAGTTCAGGTCAATCGAACTAGTCCCTTGATTTAAAGTAGACTTATTTTAGATTTCAAATTTTCATTATTGTTTGTTACATCCCCTGGTTATATATTTTTTTTTTTTTTTTGGAAAATTTGTTAATTTTTATAACATTTTTCTAAATACTAACCTGTAGCAATTTTTTTATTTTTTTTTCTTTATGATGTCAACTATATTTTTCTCTTTAATGTATTTATATGATGATAATTGCACTACAGATTACAAAGAGAGAGGTTAAAAATGGTTGGAAGGATTGGAAATGGAGGTCTTCCAAGGACAAATTTGTAAATGGGGAATACTTCGTTCCATCAGGTTAGGGAAGCTGTGTCCCTCTCTATTTTAGGTCTCAATCATTCACTGTTGCAGATGGATCCATGGTTCCAACTCTAACTTCTGATGCAGGTCCACTCCATAGTTTTAGATGCAAAGCTTGTTGATTTTTTTTGGTGTAAATTTTCATACAATAATGTCAGGGATTAAGAACTCAGATATAAAAAATTACTCTGATAAACAATGTATGGAAAGTATTACATCTAAAATGAATCTGCACCACACATTATTATTTTTTGATATTTTTTTGTGTCTGAGTTCTTAGTCTGTAGCACTATTGATTTCATAATGTGTCATGTTATTGTAATCCACGTTTCTTTTCTTTTCTTTCTTCTTCTTTTCCTTCTTCTTTTTATTTTTTATTTTTTATTTTTTTATTTTTGAGATTGTTGTGATGGTGCTTAGATGCACCCAAAAACCTTTGAAGGCAGGTTTGTATTGAAAAGGATTTGTAGATTCTTTATACTTAGAAACTTGTGAGTATGAATGAAGCACACCAAAGTTTTTGGGAATGTTGCTTGCAATGTACATATTTTTATTAATACATTCAATTTTCCCTAAATGTTGAACTTGTTTCAAGCATTTTCACACATTGTTGGGTTGAGTAATCATAATCTATTTAAAATCAAAATCAAAAGCTAGTTTGGTGAAAGAAATTGGAAAAAATATATATTATTTTTTATATATTTTTTACTTTTTGGGACAAAAATAATTTTGGAATATTTCAAAATATCTTTTTTTGGTGTTTATTATCAGATTGAGGAAATCAACCACACTTTCATATACATTTTGCAGCATATATATAAACATACACTACAGGAAATTCGTTTTTTAGCGGCGTTTAAAAAACGCCGCGAAAATCCTGAAAAACGCCGTAATATCTTATAGTGACGTGTAAAATTTTCGCCGCTGATAGGGCCGCCGCAATAGCTACACAACGTTTGAAAAACGTCGCTAAAAACATTATACGGCGTTTCTTAAAACGCCGCAAAATATTTGACGACCGTCCGTCCCCAATAACGTGTGACGTGAGAATGACGTCATTTAGTGGCGTTTTTCGAAAAACGCCACTAAATGACGTCATTCTCACGTCACACGTTATTGAGGACGGACGGTCGTCAAATATTTTGCGGCGTTTTAAGAAACGCCGTATAATGTTTTTAGCGACGTTTTTCAAACGTTGTGTAGCTATTGCGGCGGCCCTATCAGCGGCGAAAATTTTACACGTCACTATAAGATATTACGGCGTTTTTCAGGATTTTCGCGGCGTTTTTGAAACGCCGCTAAAAAATAATAAGCTAAAATGATGTAGTAATAGTATTTTTAAGTAATAAGCTAAAATGATGTAGTAATAGTATTTTTAAGTAATAAGCTAAAATGATGTAGTAATAGTATTTTTAAGTATATTCAACTGTAGCATGTTTCAAACATCAAATTAGAGTTTTTAGAATTCCAACCACGTAGCTTTCGAATTTCTTTGGTTTAGATACAATAAAATTATTTTCTACTTGGTCCATTCAATATATAAAGGTTATTGCTTTTCAAAATTGTAGTTATATAACTGGACAATCTATGTTAGAACTGTTGTTCAAACTTCTAAGTCTCATAAGCAAGAAAGAAAACTTCAATAGAAACATTGTTGCTTGCCTACAGCAATGTGAAATTGATGTAAATTGCCATTCATATGTAAGACATGCATCAAAAGAAGATTGAATCCACTTGAATTATGAAATACTAATTACATGTTAGCAAGTTTTGCAGGGAAACATGTTAGCCAAATAGAAAATAAAATTTCATATCAGCAGATCAAAAGACAGTTGACAACAATAACAACAATCTCAACCCCCAAAAGAACTTTTTAAACCTTATGTATCACGCAATTAAGTCTATATCTTATTGCGCCCCGGATATCTCACTGGTATATCATCAAGGTCCATTTTCCATTTGCTGAATCCCCAAGTCTAAGACCCACATACATATAATTTTCATTCCAGCCTCAATATGGGTTGATAACTAAAGGTATCTTGATTCAATCCAACTTTAGACAGAAAATGCAGTTTTTACTTGCCAAGTTTGTGGATAAAATTGGTGCCCTGATTTGTCCATCTCACCTTAGGAGTAGAGACCATCATTCAACTTCCAATATCCTCTATTAAATCTCATGTCATGGAATTTTTTCGAGTCTTTTAAGTTCACATAGCTAGTTCCAATATATAATAAAATTATCTTGCTCGTAGGCAATAAAAGAAATATGTTTACACTAAGTTTTCCACTACACCAAAGTCAACCAAACAGGATTCCCTATAATTGAAGGACACCCATACCAACTTAGCCAAATATGCTTAGACAAACTGCAAAATAACCTGAAGCCCATCTGATCAAAAGCATCAGTACAGAAATTAGTCTTGCAACTATCAATAATTTATTAGCTAAGAAAGCCAGAGGGTTTCTCAGCATTCTATGATCTCCACCAACACAGTTAAAAGAGGAAGAAAGACTGTGGTTAGCGCCTTCCTTCAGAACAAGTGGAGGCAACCCTACATACTCAATTTCAGACTGATAATCATCAATAATTAATTCTAAGCTTGGGAATTACTAAAAACATACATCTAAATTTGCAAAACAAAAAAAGAATTGCAGCAACACTCGACTACAATTAAAGAAAACTCCATATTTCCATTTACCTAAACGTGAATACCATTAAGATTTAGAATACATTCAATATATTTATATATGTGTCGATGAAACTCAAAGATTATCACATTCTCATACAGGGACATTTATTTCTCAGTAGTTCTGCAGTTCATTACATCTCCAGGATAGTTCAGCCGTCCAAACAAAACAGCACAGAGCTAAAATGGCATTGTTCTGACTGTCAAATAATAAAATGTGGATAAACACTCACCGAAGGAAACAAAAACAAATCAAAAGGCCTACTAGCCATATGACAAAGGCATTAGATCAAAAAATTTCTTGACTCCAAAACTGGAGTACTTTGTCAATCATCAAACTTACCGGGGTGATTACAGTGCTATAAGCAAAGATTTAACACCCTATAAGCCTCTATAAATATGTAACCCATTATTAGAGCAGACAAAAATAAGGAAAATGACCAAATAGAATTAGAAGACAGAGAAACCTCCAGACATCCTTCAAGAGAATGAAAATTGTACCTGGGATAAGAGCAACAGAGATCGATCTGGTTCGAGAATGATATCGATTTTGGATCTGCGATTTGATGAAGAACAGATCGAGTTTGAGTTCAAGTTCGATGAAGAGACTGATCAAAGCTCTCCAGCGACAGATCAATGAAGAGCAACACCTGCAATCGAGCGAGCGAGAGAGAGAGAGAGAGTGTGTGTGTCTTTGATCTGGTTCGATGAATATCAGTCGAGGGCTTTGGAAGAGAGAGAAAGAGAGGAAGAGAGACCGAGCTATGGAACATATAGAGAGAAAGTGAGAGATGGAAAGTGAGAGACGGAAAGAGAGACTGAATTCAAGCGAGAGAGAGTGAGAGCTTCAAATCGAGGGTTTTGGAAGAGAGGGAAACTGAGTTGTGGTAGACTGAGAAAGAGAGACTGAATTCAAAGAGACGGAGTTTTGACGGTGAATACATTGACCCAATACGGCACCGTTTCACTGAGGTCAGACACAACGTTTTTTGAAAACGTTGTGTTTCGTGAATTTATAGTGGCGTTTTCCTAAACGCCACAAAAAAAACGTTGCTATACACCAGTTTTCCTGTAGTGATACAGGATAACAAACACTTGTTTGAAATCCTAAAATATAGAGCAGTTTGAAATTGTTTCCTAACTCTAAGGCACAAGTATCACTACAACAAAATACACCTTTGGCGACTAAAAACAATTTAGTCGCCAAAAGTTATGGAATTGGTGACTACCATTTTTTTAGTCGCCAAAAGTAAAATATTTAGCTACTAATTTTTTTTCATCGGTGTATATTCATCATTGGCGACTGAAAAAAAATTTAGTCGCTAAAAATGCCAGAATTGGCGAAAAAAAAAAACTTAGTCGCTATCTACTGACTTTTGGCTACTAAAATATTTAGTCACCGAATGGAAAATAAAAAATTTATTTTTTTCTCTTTGGCGACTAAAGTTTTAGTTGCCAAAAACTTCTTTCAGCGACAAAAAATTATTTTAGTCGCCTTTAGCTGATTTTTTCCAACTAAAATGTTTAGTCGCCAATTGTAATTAAAATTTTCAAAGAATTTACACTTTTGGCGACTAAATTTGTTTTACTAAATTTGGTGACTAAAACAAATTTAGTCGCCAAAAGTGTAACAATAGGCGACTAAAATTTTTTTTTGTCGGCATTAGTCCATGTTTTGGCTACTAAAATAATTTTAGTCATCATTTATTAATATTTCCCAACTAAAATTTCGTTGCCAAATGTGTATACAAATTTAGTGGGAAATATTTCATATTGGCGCCTAAATTTTTTGCGCAAATCTGTTAGCCTTCTATTCTATCTCTCTCTTGCTCTCCCTCTCTCTCTCTCTCTCTCGCTCTCACGCGCGCTCTCTCTCTCTCTCACAGAGAATCGATCACCACTGCCCTTCATCTTGCCATCGCAGACGACCACAATTTCTGTCAATCTTTCACTGTCGAACATTGCTACCGCAACTCACCATTTCCTCGCCTCGCCTCCCATTGATTCGCTTCCGGCAGCTTACTTCTCTCTATATTTTTTTCTCTCCTCATCTTCTCTTTTCCTCACCAGATCGATGACAATCTTCCTCCCTTTACTTCTCTCTGTGTTCGATTTTTGTTGGTTCATGATCTATGTTCAAAATTATATATATATGTGTGCGTGTGTGTGTAAAGCTTTAGTGATTTCTATATGTGTGTGTGTAATTGGGTATCTGATTGTTCGATTTCGAAACCCTAATGGCGGAAATGGAAATTCGAAGTCTGTATATGTGTGTAATTGGATATATGATTGTTGTTTGATTTGGTTGTTGGAAACCTAGAGGAAATGCTTTTGGTTACGTTTATCCAACTGTTGATTACCAGGTACATGCTGATTTAAAATCAAAATTGAATTATTTTTTGTGTGCTTAGAATGAAATTGAGCTAGGGCTAAATTAGAGAAGCTGTTCTGATTGTTGGATTTGATTATTTTGGATTGATTTGGGGGATTTTTGATGGAAATTATTGTCATTTTGGATTCAAGTGTTATTAGTTTGAAAGAAGTGTTTTCAATTCCCTTTTCTAATTGATTTTGCAGGTATATGCTGATTTAGACTCAATGTTTTTTTTTTTTTCCTGTTGTTAGTATGGACGTGTATATTTGTATAGGCTGATTTTTTTTTCGTTGTTGAATGGAAGAAGAGGTATGTTTTATGATAGGCATAACAGTTTAATTGCCATATTGTCCAATGAATATTTGTATAGGCTAATTCTTTGGACATTTACTAGCCTTGCTCCTCAATAATTCTGAAATTTCGTTCACTGATTGCAGTAGGATTGACGGGAATGCACTATCTGGGAAGATACCTGATCTGATCGAGAATTGGACAAAAATTGTGAGATTGTGAGTTTATCATTCATTCCAACAAATTATTATTGTTATTTTTTTATAATAAATTTTTAACTTAAGAGCATCTCAAATGAATGTTTAATTTGAATCTGTTTCAGGGACATGCAAGGCATATCTATGGATGGCCCTATTCCTTTGACCATTGCCCAACTGAAAGACTTAACTGAATTGTGAGGACTTATTTAATTACATTCCAAACTACTTTAATCTATTTAGCTCTTTGTTTCAACCAAGAGGAAATTCAAGGATTTTTTATGCCTATAAATTTGAGAATGTAGAAAGATGAAACAACCTGATCTGTTGCATCTTGATTTTCTAGGAGGATATCTGATTTGAATGGATCAAGTATGAAATTCCCTGATCTACAGGAGTTGAAAATGTTGAACACACTGTAAGTTGAATCCAGATGTAATTCATGGGAAGAGTGCAATCTTGTGTCATCAATTTGTGGTGTGGTTACCTAACCAATTTGTTTGTTTTATTTTTGTTACATAGGATACTAAGAAATTGCTTAATTATTGGTCCAATCCCAGATTACATTGGTGAATTGTCTAATCTCAAAATTTTGTAAGTTCATTCTAATTGGCTTTCTCACAGAGATTCATGGTTTCTTGATTTAAAAAAAAAAAAAAAAATTGATTTGATTTGATATCTCTAAACATAGAAATGCTTTATTTGTGTTCTTATTCTTGAATTAAGTAGTTTTTCTATTTATTTAATTTGACATGTTATATTATATCTGAAGATTGTAGTTTAAAATGGAAAGACTTGACGCCTTGTTTGTTATGTTAGTTTTATTTTCTATTTTTTAAGAAAACTAATAACTCTATAACCACCTTGATACTTCAATGAATTAGCTAGCCATTTACTAATCATGGAGATGAATCAGACCTTTAAATTTCATATATGTTCAATGTCTACTGTTATTCATCTATACCCCTTACCCCTTTTGTGCATACCAAAATTATTCTTTGGATTTTATGAAACAAACTTTCTTTAAGATTTGCTGTCTAGGATCTGTTTGAGTCCTAGAAATTATTGGGGAGCAAAGTGGATGTAAATTATATCACATTAAAGTCATCTTTTGGTTTATTTAGTTTATGAAGAATTTAGTTTTTTTTTTCCATTCCAATGTAGACTAGCAAAAGTTGTTCTTCACATAATGAAATGTCATTTGCTTTGTTTTTGTTCTTCTCTTCATGGATGTAGCTATAGTAATCCCTCATCTTTGTTTTTGTTTTTGTTCTTCTCATAGGATTCTTATGCAGATTGTTTTTTCTTTATAATTGGGGTTTTTTGCTATATTTTGAAGTTCCAAAAAATTTTAGTACAAGCTTAATCATAGATGAATTCTTTGATAAAAAATGATCATCAACAACTACTTTGATAGAAGAATTCTTAGATGCATCTTAGATGCACCTAACCTTAGTACCTAGATGTATCTAAAGGGTAGAGCAAAAAACGCCTTAAGCTTAACCGAAAAAGGGGGTTAAGGGAGCAAAATATCGAAATAGCCCCGAAACCACCGTAGGGATGTCACAGCCAGCTTCCTCATGACATATACGACTTGTGACAACAGACGGAATGTCATTAGCACACGTCGTTTGTGAGTTAGAGCCGAAAACGACTTAAACTTATTCAAAAAAGGGAGAGTTTGACATCTAATAAATGTTCAACATTTTTATTGTAAATGATGCCATTGTTTCATCGTACACAGTGGTATTTGGGTGGTAAACGTATTAAGAAAGCATGATATGGTTATGGATATAATTCCGTAGATTACTTAATCATTTTACTTTGATAAAAACTACACTATTTCATCTCAACTTTTTTACTTGTGCAGGTACTGGAATTACTTGAGGAAGCACACATATGTTCTGGAATCTATGGTTTCTCCCTCTCCCTTTCTCTTTATCTATGATTTCTCTATCCGTTCTCTTGCTCTTTATCATTTCTCACTCTCGTCTCTTGCTTTCGAAGGCTTCTTGAAGATCTTTGTCTTTTTCAATAGCTTATTTGTTCGAAAGAGTTCTCATTGAAGAGGTATGGCTTGAAATCCCTAAAACCCTATCCACTCTTTTGTATTTCATTTTGTTTCCTCTTAATTAGTTATTTCTTTCATATATTTTGCACTGTGTATCGGGTTCCTTTTGGTAAATTTGAATGTAATATTTGATTTTTATTAGTATGAATTTCTGATTTTGGAGACCATTATATAAATTTCCTCTAAGTTGTTCTTTATGTAGTCTTCTCTTCTTAGTATTTTCTATGCACATACCTGCAAGCATTTTGACAAATTGACATCGTTGAAAATGGAAAGTAAGGGATAAATACATGCTAATATTATGTGTATCTTGTTGACACTTATTGCTGTCACAATAATAGAATATTAAGAGTTTCTGTAGAAATTACATAGCATACTATGTTGGGTTTATAATATGTAAACTCACAATTTGAATATATTGCTTAGCTTTTAATTGGGTAATTGTTAGAAACCCTTGATTTTTCTTGCTAGTCTGGTGTATGCACAAGATGCTCAATGTGCTGTCATAATAATTCTCTAGTGCACATGTCCTTCTCAACTCATCATTCACAAGAACATCTATAATTCTGTATGTGTAGCTCTATTTCATATCACTTTATTTATTTATTTTTGGTGGGTAATATTCATCTCAATTAGTGATGAACATGTATTTAAATCGTTCCCAATAAATCAAAGTTACAATGGTTCCTAATAGCTCCATTTCAAGTGGGAGAACTATCAAATGTGGGGTGACTGGTGGGTATTCATTGTCATTGTATTTCTTTGTATGACGATATGATATTAATTATGTTGCCTTCTTGTTTCTTTCTATGATAGTGGATTGGAATTGGGCCATCACAAAATGATGGTGGGAATTGCTAGTAGTGGTAAGGCTTTAAGGTGTGGATTGTGGGATACATATGTTATCCAGGTTCTTAATGAGGAAAATATATTGGTGTTGTTTGTATGGTTGTGGGTGTGCATTTATGGCTTTGATTTTGACTCAAATGGTTGCTATATTTGATTGGTTTACATACTCCCCACAGTGAAAATTTTGACATTGAAAATCCGTTTACTACTTAAAAATTTTGACAGAAAGAAAATGATTTCTGCTTTGATTCCAATAGGACAACAATGCATTAAACTTAACCGAAAAAGGGCGTTAAGGGGGTGAAAATGCGAATCAGCCCCCGAACGACCGTACAGATGTCACGACCACCTTCCCCGTCACAAATAGGACCAGTGACAACAGACGAAATGTAATTTGCACACATAGTTTGGGAGTTAGAGCCGAAAATGCATTAAACTTAGTTCAAAAAGAGCATTCTGGGGGCGAACATTCATAACAGCCCCCGAATCACCATGTGACTCACATGGACAGTTTTCCCATGACAAATAGGACTTATGAGAACTAACGGAATGTAATTCGGACCCATAAATAGGGAGTTAGAGCCGAATACGCACCAAACTTGGCCGAAAAAGGGTGTTCCTAGGGTGAAAATTCAAAGCAGCCCTTGAACCATCATGTGACTCACACGGACAATTTGCTCATGATAAATAGGACTTGTGAGAACTAACGGAACGTAATTCAGACCTGTAGGTTGGGAGTTAGAGCCGAATACGCCCTAAACTTAGTCGAAAAAAAACTTTCCGGGGACAAAGATTCATAAAAACCCCCGAACCATCATGTGGCTCACACAGACAGTTCTCCTATGACAAATAGGACTTGTGAGAACTGACGGAACGTAATTCGGATCCGTAGGTTGGGAGTTAGAGCCGAATACGCCCTAAACTTCGTCGAAAATAGGCGTTTCGAGGGAAAAAATTCAAAACAACCCTCGAACGACTGTGTGGCTTGCACAGATAGTTTCTCCATGATAAATAGGACTTGTGAGAACTGACGGCATGTAATTCGGACCTGTAGGTAGGCAATTAGAGCCGAATACGCCCTAAACTTAGTCGAAAAAGAACTTTCCGGGCGCAAAAATTCAAAACAGCCACCGAACCACCATGTGGCTCACACGAATAGCTCCCCTATAAAAAATAGGACTTGTGAGAATTGACGGAATGTAATTCGGATTCGTAGGTTGGGAGTTAGAGCCAAATACGCCCTAAACTTAGACGAAAAAAGGCGTTTCGGGGGCGAAAATAAAAAACAGCCCCCGAACGACCATGTGGCTTTCACAGATAGCCTCACCATGACAAATAGGACTTGTGAGAACTGATGGAACGTAATTCGGACGTGTAGGTTGGGAGTTAGAGCTGAATACGCCACAAACTTAGTCGAAAAAGAACTTTCTGGGGACAAAGATTCATAAAAGCCCCCCAACCACCATGTGGCTCACACGGACAGTTCCCCCATGACAAATAGGACCTGTGAGAACTGACAGAACATAATTCGGACCCTTAGGTTGGGAGTTAGAACCGAATATGCCCTAAACTTAGTAGAAAAGGGAGTTTCGGGGGCAAAAATTCAAAACAGCCCATGAACCACCATGTGGCTCACACGAACAGTTCCCCCATGACAAATAGGACTTGTGAGAACTGACGGAACATAATTTGGACCCGTAGGTTAGGAGTTGGAGTCGAATACGCCCTAAAGTTAGTTGAAAAAGAACTTTCCAGGGGGAAAAATTCATAACAGCCCCTGAACCACCGTGTGGCTCACACAGACAGTTCCAACATGACAAATAGGACTTATGAGAACTGACGGAACATAATTTGGACTCCGAGGTTGGGAGTTAGAGCCGAATACGCCCTAAACTTAGTCGAAAAAGGGTGTTCCGTGAGCGAAAATTCAAAACAGCCCCCGAACCACCGTGTGGCTCACACGGACAGTTCCTCCATGACAAATAGGACTTGTGACAACTGACGGAACATAATCCGGACCCGTAGGTTGGGAGTTATATAGCGACCCCGGTCTTTTCCCATTTGATTATTGTATCCGGACTTAGGTTCCGTAGATTATGTCATTGTATTATTGTTGTTGTTGTCCTTATTTTCTCATTTGGAATTATAGGATGTGTTGGGCAGGTTTGTTTTAGATTGGTTGGGTTTAGAAATCAAGTGTTGCTGTCCAGTATTTTGGATCTTCGCTCGAGCGAGGAGTTGGTCGCTCGAGCGAGCTGTTGTTTTTTGTTCTTCGCTCGAGCCGGGGTTTGGTCGCTCGAGCGAGAGTTTGCGTCTGGTATGGACCTGTAGCTTTGCATTCTTGGCTCGAGCGAGCTTTTCTTTGCTCGAGCGAGTTAGTTTGTTCTTTGCTCGAGCAATAGTTCCTTCGCTCGAGCGTGTGTCTGGTTTCAGACCTGTGGGTTTGAGTTCTTCGCTCGATCGAGTTTTCTTTCGCTCGAGCGAGCTTTTGTGTTGTTGGCTCGAGCAAGGCTTCCTTGGCTCGAGCGTAGTTTTTCTGTGTCTGGTCGTTCGAGCGACCAAGTCTTCGCTCGAGCGAGCCTGTCCAGTTTATATACGCAGCAGCGGGTTTTGATCAGTCTTTTCTTATTCTTTTTGGTTCTAAATCCTAGGTCCGACTTCTCTCCCTCAAAACTCATCTTCTCTTTAGGTGTTCATCTACTTCTAGTGTGAATCCATCTTAAGTTCTTTGTAAGAAAGATAGAGGACGGCTTGGGCTTAATTCTAATCTGAACATTTGGTGATTTGGAGCACATTGGAATTTGGGCATTTATCTCTATCTTCTCCATTCGGGTTATTTTCTTTGAGGTAGGGATTTCCTACTCCATTTTATAGGTTTTGTTCTAAGCTTTGGTAATTTAATATGTTGGGGATACTTTGTTAATTTTGGGAAAAACCCTAGTTGTATTATTGAATTAATTTGTATAAGTAATTCATAGAATTGGGAAAAGATGGTTAAATTCATGGAATTGGGGAATTCATTGGTTAAATAGCGTAATTGGGTAATTGGAATCATTTGTTTATTAAATTGATGACATAGTTATTTTCAGTTTAGAAATAACTGTTTTGGGCTATCGGTGGAGGATAGTCGTGATTGTTGTAGACATTGCATGTGGATTAGGAATAACTGAAACTAATCACATTGGTTAAGTCATAAATTTTGACTATTGCATTGATAGAGAATAAGTGTATTGATTGAGCATTGCATTTGCATACATTGTTTTTCATTGCTTATATGTGGTTTAGTATATTTCTACTGGGCTGTGGCTCACCCTTTATGGGAACATCATTTTCAGGTTCAGGTGATAAACTACCTCCAAGGACTTAGCTTGGGAGGGTTTGGCTTCTGGATTGAAGAAGACTACCTTTAGTTGATAGTTTTTATTTATTAGTACATGTAAACATTCAAGCCTAGGGCTTTTCTTGTATTGAGATTAGAACTCATATTTTGAATCCAAGTGTTGGCTTGGAAAGATGTAAGCCTGTAGGGCATTTTATTCAATGTTACATGTAATGAATTATTTAGTTATACTCTGATGAATGAATTAATAAATTGTCTTCTTTAAATAATGCATGTCAATGTTATATAATGGGTTAATTTTGAGGGCGTTACAAGTTAGAGCCGAATACGCCCTAAACTTACTTGAAAAAGGACTTTCCGTGGGCAAAAATTCATAACAGCCCCCAAACCACCATATGGCTCGCACGGATAGTTCCCCCATGACAAATAAGACTTGTGAGAAATGACGAAACGTAATTCGGACCCGTAGGTTGGGAGTTAGAGCTGATTACGCCCTAAACTTAGTCGAAAAAGCACTTTTCGGGGGCAAAAATTCATAACAGCCCCCGAACCACTGTGTGGCTCACACGAACAGTTCCCCCATAACAAATAGGACTTGTGAGAACTAACGGAACATAATTCGGACCTGTAGGTTTGGAGTTAGAGCCGAATACGCCCTAAACTTAGTCGAAAAAGGGTGCTTCGGGGTGAAAATTCAAAATAGCCCCTGAACCACCGTGTGGCTCACACGGACATTTCCCCCATGACAAATAGAACTTGTGACAATTGACGGAACGTAATCCAGACCCATAGGTTGGGAGTTAGAGCCGAATACGCCCTAAACTTAGTAAAAAAAGGGACATTCCGAGGGTGAAAATTCATAACAGCCCCCAAACCACCGTGTGGCTCACACGGACAATTCCCCCATGACGAATAGGACGTGTGAGAACTGACGGAGTGTAATTCGGACCCGTAGGTTGGGAGTTAGAGCCGAATATACCCTAAACTTAGTCGAAAAAGGGCGTGTCAGGGGCGAAAATTCAAAATAGCCCCCGAACCACCATGTGGCTCACACAGATAGGTCACCCATGACAAATAGAACTTGTGACAACTGACAGAACATAATTTGGACCTGTAGGTTGGGAGTTAGAGCCGAATACGCCCTAAACTTAGTCGAAAAAGGACTTTCCGGGGGCAAAAATTTATAACAGCCCCCGAACCACTGTGTGGCTCACAAGGTCAGTTCCTCCATGACAAATAGGACTTGTGAGAACTTTCAAAACATAATTTGGACCCGTAGGTTGGGAGTTAGAGCCGAATATGCCCTAAACTTAGTCGAAAAATGGCGTTCCAGGGTCGAAAATTCAAAACAACCCCCGAACCACTATGTGGCTCGCACAGATAGCTTTGCCATGATAAATAAGACTTGTTAGAACTGACAGAACGTAATTCGGACTTGTAGGTAAGGAGTTAGAGTCGAATACGCACTAAATTTAGTCGAAAAAGGACTTTCCGGGAGCAAAAATTCATAACAGCCCCCTATCCACCGTGTGGTTCACACAAACAGTTCCCCCATGACAAATAGGACTTTTGAGAACTAACAGAATGTAATTCAGACCCGTAGGTTGGGAGTTAGAGCCAAATACGCCCTAAACTTACTCGAAAAAGGGTTTTCTAGGGGCGAAAATTCATAACACCCCCCGAATACACCTTACACTTAGTCGAAAAACTTGCAACACTTAGTTAAAAAAACAACAAATTAATTAAAATAACATCTACATATTCTAATGATTGCCTTTATATATTTATAAGACGATGAAATTACATATTTTATTGTTTATGCAGTTTGTTGGAATAAATATCGCATGATACATATATATATATATATATATATATATACTTTCTTTTATTTCCAAGAAGACATTTCTCGATTGTTCTACCTTAAACGCATGTTAGAACATGTTCCATATGGTTGACTGAATTGATATTTTGTAACCAATTCTAATGTTTCATTTTTTGTTTTTCTTTGCAGATGGCTTTGTTGCGTGGACTTGTGGATAATCCATATTGGTGCATGGAGAAGAATTTCACTTTTGTGTAGAACCAATATAATACTTTTGTCATCCTCAGCTTTTGTGTAGTTCATTATTACTTTTGTCGTGGTACATATATCACCTTTTGTTGTGGTACAGATTACGACGGTAATTTGTACCATGTCAAATGATAATTTCACTTGGTAGTAAATGTATTTTTTTGTATACGGAGGGTTTTGATTTTTGTATGATATATTTTGTATAGAATTATTATTTTAGTTTGGACAATAGTTGATTTGTATGGATTTCGATATTTAATGTCATTTATTTTTGGTATATGGATGCAGATATTGAAATGATTGATAGTATGCATCATTTTGTTTTTATACGTATTACAGGTTGCATTGTATATAGACAGGTTATGGAGAAATTATAATTTCGTGATAAAACATAATATCATGTTTTTGGCGACAAAACAATTAGTAGCTAAAAAGAAATTGGGAAAAGACATTTGGCGACTAAAAGTTTTGTAGCAAAAAAAAAGACATTTGGCGACTAAAAGTTTTGTAGCCAAAAAAAAAAGACATTTGGCAACGAAAAGTTTTGTAGCAAAAAAAAAAAAAGACATTTAGCGACTAAAAGTTTAGTAGCCAAAAAAAAAAGACATTTGGCGACTAAAACTTTAGTAGCCAAAAGAAAATCAAACATTTGGGGACTAAAGTATTTCGTACCTAAAAATAAAAAATTAAATTATAAACACACTTTTGCCGACTAAAATTTTAATAGCCAAAAATGTAAAACTTTAGGCGACCAAATATTTAGTAGCCAAAATAGGAACTCTTTGCCGACTAAACATTTAGTAGCCAAAGATGAGGACTTTCGGCAACTAAATTTTTTGTAGCTAAAAAAGAACTCTTTGCCGACTAAAATTTTAGTAGCTAAAAAGGTGGGACTTTAGGCAACTAAAAGTTTGGTAGCCGAAAAGGGTCTAATTTAATTTAATGTCCAACCTTTTGGCGACTAAATATTTAGTCGGCAAATGAATACATTTGGCGACTAAAATAATTTTAGTCGCCAATTAGCTTTCCCAACTACTCTTTAGCTACTAATTTTGCAACCAAAAAATTTAGTCGCTAAAGTCCTTCGGCAACTAAAAATTGACTTTTGGCGACTAAAAATTTAGTCGCCAAAAGTGAAAATTCTTGTAGTGTATTTCGAATGAATTCAAAATAGAGAAGCTAACGAACTGTTACAATCTATACAAGTATTTTGAATGAATTCAAAATAGAGAAACCAAAGGACTGTTACAATCTGTTACAATCTTATGATATACCCCCTCAAGATGGAGTGCGGAATAGAAGTCCAATCTTGGATTTGAGATCCAGAAAACGAACACGGTGAAGAGGTTTGGTGAGGGCATCGGCAAGTTGATCTGCTGAGGATACATGAGCAACCCAAAGGACACCATTTTGTACTTGGTCTTTGATGAAGTGATAATCGATGGCAACATGTTTCATTCTACAGTGGAACATGAGATTGGAGTAGAGTTGGGTAGCACCAACATTATCACAATATAAAACGGGACAGCAAGGTAGTTGAACACCAAGATCAGTGAGAAGATAGCAAAGCTAGTTGAGCTCAGTTGCTGCATTAGCAATTGACCGGTATTCAGCTTCAGTGGAAGATCGTGCAATAGTTTTCTGTTTCTTAGAACTCCAAGAGACTGGATTACAACCAAGATAGATAACGTAAGCACTGGTTGATGAAAAATCATTCTTGTCACCTGCCCAATCAGCGTCTGCATAGGCGTGTAAATTCAATGGGGACCAGCGATGTAGTTGAAGGTCGTCATTAGTAGTTCCACATAGATAATGTAAGAGACGTTTAACAAAGTTCCAATGATCGGTTGTTGGAGTGTGCATGTACTGGGAGAGCTTGCTAATCGCAAATGCAAGATCTGGTCTGGTAATCAAGAGATATTGAAGGCTGCCAGCAACTATTCTGTACTCGGTGGGATCAAACAAAGCAAAGCCCGATTTTAACAAAGGTGGACTAGTTGGAATGGGAGTGAGCATAGGTTTGGCATCAGTCATATGAGGTCTAGCTAGAATATCCAAAACGTAATACCTTTAAGATAATAAAATCCCTTGTTGATTTGGGATGACCTCCACACCCAAAAAATAAGATAGCTGTCCAAGATCCTTAATTGAAAACCGATGAGCAAGAATATCAACAAATGAGTTGATCATCTAAGTGTTGTCTCTAGTGATGATTAAGTCATCCACATAGACAAGTATATACATTCTATGACCAGCAGTAGTGAGAACAAATAGTGAAGTATCTGCATGAGAATTTTTGAAGCCTGAGGTAAGAAGGAAAGTTCGAAGTTCATGATACCAGGCTCTTGGTGCTTGTTTGAGGCCATAGATGGTCTTTTGAAGTTTGCAGACATAAGATGGATGATCTTGATCAACAACACCTGTGGGTTGTTGCATATAGACATTCTCGGAGAGGTGGCCTTGTAGAAAGGCATTGTTAACATCCAGTTGACGTAAGGACCGACCCCGAGATACGGCAAGAATGAGGACAACACGTACTGTCGTTGGTTTTACAACAGGGCTGAAAGTGTCTAGATAATCGATGCCGGGTCTTTGATGAAATCCTTTTGCGACCAAACGTGCTTTGAACCTGTCAACAGAGCCATCAGAGTTACGTTTAATTCAAAAAATCCATTTGCACCCAACTATATTCATGGTAGAATCAGTTGGGACAAGTTCCTATGTTCCGTTTCTAACTAAAGCATCACACTCATCAGACTCGGCTTTACGCCATCTTGGATCTTTAAGGACAGTAGTCACGGTAATTGGTTCAAGGTCATCGGATTTGGAGAGTTAGGTATGAAGGTTCATTTTAGTGATGGATTTATGAATGTGGTTCTTTGCTCGGGTGGTCATTGGGTGAGTTGGAAGGGGATGAATTTCAGGTGGGTTAGGAGGAGGCGACTCTAGGATATGTAGTGGTGGATTGGTTGAGGGTGTGAATGAAGGTGAGTGTGAGTGGGTGGGCTGGTTTGTGTTAGTAGATGGAACATGTACTGGAGTGTGTGTTAGAGCTGCACTTTGAGGTTACTAAGAGACGATGACTTCAGATGCTGTTGAGTGGCAGCTGGGAAGAGGATGCGAGAACTAGAATTGGTATAGGAATCCAAGTTGCGATGAGGTTGGGATGAGGACTAGAGGACGGCCCAGACAATGAAGAGTATGGAAAGTGGGATTCAACAAATTGGACATGTTTTGAGACATAGATTTTTGAGGTTGAAGGGTCAAGACAGTAGTATGCACTTTGAGTGAGAGAGTATCCAAGGAAAAAACACGGCTTGGACCGTGATTCAAGCTTGTGCAAGGTGTAAGGTCTGAGTCAAGGGTAGCATAAGCAGCCAATGACCCTTAATTTGGAGTAGTTGGGGGCTGTCAGAAATATTTTGTGGTAGGGTGAGGAGAGATTTAAAGTGGGAGTGGGCATTCTATTGACAAGGTAGACTACTGTAGCAAAGGCATAAGTCCAGTAGGAGAGGGGTAAAGAAGCATGAGTGAGGAGTGCTAGACCTGTTTCTACGATATGAAGGTGCCTTCTTTTAGAGTAACCATTGTGTTCAGGTGTGTGAGGGGGAGTGGTGAGATGTGAGATACCATTGGTGGAAAGAAAATTAGCTAGGGAAAGGTATTCACCACCGTTGTCTTAATAGAGTGTTTTGATGGTAGAAGTGAAGTGTTTTTCCATAATGGCTTTGAATCGTATGAAGACTTCTTTGACATCAGATTTGTTTTTGAGTGGGTAAAACCATATATATTTACTAAAATGATCAATAAAGATTACATAATATTTAAAGCCATGATGTGAGTAAATGGGAGAGGTCCAAACATCAGAGAATATGACTTCAAGAAGTTTAGTACAGACAATTGTAGAATTGGAGAAAGACAATTTGTGGCGTTTATTGCAAAGACAAGCATTACAGGAGAAATCAGAAGATAAAGACGAAGATAAGCCTAAGGCATTGCTAGAAACAATATGCTTGAGAATTGGAAAAGCTGGATGTCCTAAGCGATGGTGCCAGTCAATGGTTGTTGTCCTGATTGTGGAGAAAGCAAGTAAAAGGGAGGAGGTTGGCCACTCATATACGACATCTTTAGTCTGTCCCTTCAGCAATGTGGCCCCGGTTTGAAGTTCCTTCACAAGAAAAGTGGATGGTAAGAACTCGATGGAAACATTGTTAGAAGTGCAAAATTGTGAAATAGAGATTAGGTTCTTTTTCATAGATGAAACACACAGAACATTGTTTAACGTAAAGTTTTGGTGAGGAGTTTTGAGAGAGGTGGAACCAGTGTAGGTGATGGCAAGATTGGAGCCATCGCCGATCATGATGTCATCAGTGCCAATGTAGGGAGCATGCAATGAGAGGTTGTTGAGATCAGATGTGACATGGTGTGATGCACCACTGTCCAAAAGCCAGGATGGCATGGTGGAAGGTTGGGTGGCAAGATGAGCTTGTGGTTGCCAGGGTGTGCCTTGTGGAGAAGAGCGGGATGTGGGGAAAGACTGAACTGGTACAAGACGAAATGAAGGACACCGTTTGGCAGTGTGACCCTGAAGCCTGCAAATTTGGTAGTGACCAAGGTATATGGCCTGGGTGGAGGACTTATGCCCTGTGATGAATGGGGTCCTGTAGTGGTTGCTGTAGGTGGGCAGTTGGTAGAGTTGAGGGATAAGCGCCAGTTTGTGGTGGTAGTGTTTTGTGGTGGGAAAGGATGTCAGTTTCTGGTGTTGGTTTTGTATGTGGGATTTGCAGTGGCTGGAAAGTGATGTGGCTCATGTTGGATGCTTTGAAGGGAGGCTTCAAAATTGAGGAGTTTTTCGTGAAGTTCTTCAAAAGTGGTAGAGGTATCTCTAGCTTGGATAGCTCAGACTAATTCTTTGTATTCATCACCGAGGCCATCGAGGATTTTGTCTGTGATTTCTTCTTCATCTTTTGGAGCGCCAAGAAGAGCAAGGTCATCGGCTCGAGTTTTGATGGTTTGCATAAACTCAGTGATGCTGAGGGAGCCTTTGGTGGTGTTTTTAATTTGGGTTTTGATTTGTTTGATACGGCCTCAAGAGGGTTTAGCATAGGTGTTGGATAGAATTTTCCAGGCTTGTTTAGAGGTTTGGCTTGAGTTATGAAAGGAATAATTGTGGGTGAAATGGAGCCAATAATAGCGTTGAGGATCAGTTGGTCCCGTCGGTTCCATAGAGTGTGACTGGGAT